ACTCAGAAGGCACCACTAGCTCTTTGATCCAAGCTCCTATTTCTTTTAGTTTTAAACTTTTGCAAGCCAGTTGTCTAGTGGTTAAGGCACTTGGCTAGGAAGCAAGAGATCATGAATTCAAATCCTGCTTTAGCCATGAAGGCAGCTCTCAGCCCAACTAACCTCATAGGGTTGTTATAGAGAAAATGGGAGGATGAAGGTATGTTGGATATGTTCACCATCTTGAGTTATTTGTAAAAAATCATAAAGACAAGATATAAATATATAAATGTAATTGCATAATAATTTATAACTTTTCATATATGTATGTTTTATTATAAGATTCTCCTCAAACTGCACAATAGGTGGTATATTAATTTAGCAAATAAATAAAAGACTACCTGTAATTGAATGTTAATTTGGCCCTGGGAATGGGAAAGGATGAATGAACAATTAAGGAAATAGTTACAAAAAGAGAAGGAAGAACAATGTCTAGATTTTGTTTTGATATAAGACAAAGTAGAGAAACTCTGTCAGGCTTGCAAGATTCTTTTATTATATCCCAAAACAGTAAAAAATATTCCTGAAAATCCTGCTGCTCTTCATACTGCCCACCTCAAAAATGCTGAAGCTCAAGGAATGAAAAGTTGAAAACCTAGAGTTATGAACCGTTCTCATCAACCAGATGGTCTAAAGCAGACATGTGGAACACAAGGCCCAGGGGCCAGATGCGGCCTGCAAAGTGATTTCATGTGGCCCGTGAAGGCATCCTGGAAACAGTGAGGGAACGGCCCCCACTGCCTTGGCCCTGGAGAAAGTCTCAGAAACATTTTAAGTTTCCCTTCTAAAAGAGAGACCAATGGTGACCTTGGGAAAAGACACCACACAACATCCCTGACTTATCAGTGTCCAGGAACAAGAATTTGTATAATCTTGTTGTGACGGTAAATATGTGGGAGGGGGGCTTAGGAAGATATTGGAGAGAGAGGAGAAACGCTATCCCTGAATTCTCAAAAAGTTTAGTAGAAGCACATCTAGTTTGTCAGAGAAACAGAATGCAACTTTCAAAAACTGGCCCACAAGAAGAGTCCTTAACCTGGTGGTAATTTCCCTTTGCCCTGAAAAAGAAGCTGTAGCAGGTCAAAAGGGGCTGGGACAAAGAGGAAGGCTGGGGCAGCCTGGTTGAAGTTAAATTCTCTGCTTCTCTTCACTCTTGCTTCCTGCCAGGATCTCCTGGGGGACAACAATTTTAGCAACTTTGCTGCAGGAGTAGCTGCCTTGCTCACAATATATGATATCAGGTCAGCCTTTTGTTTCTTTTGTTCAATATGATCATATGAGATGGGGCTGTTGTCATTTTGAAGACAGGTCATAAATAACTTTTTTCAAGTCTGTCATGACTTTGAACAGTTGTTAAGCGACCGGTTTTAAGATGAGAATTACCTGCACTCAAATGAGGATACAACCAGTGGGATTGATTTTCTGTCACTTCATGTGCCAATGCCTTCACTCCCTCCCCTTAGTGTTCTAAATAAAGTTATCTTCATTAACATATGCATAGGTCTTCGCAGCATGTCAGATTTCCCTGGGAACTTCTGCAAATGGCTGCTGGAATTGTGATTCATTTGGTTGTTGCTGTTCTTGTTATAGTTGTGCTGTTTTGGGCATTTGTATTGTTTGTGTGTAGGGATCTCTGGATGAAGCCTCGTGGATATCTGTTTCTCTCAAAGACTCTGCATAAATGTCTCTGTCCTGCTAATCTGGCTTCTGTGATGTTGCAATGGGATGCTGCTCTTCTGAAAAGTGTTCTGACACAGCTTTCTTTATGGCACTTGGGGTGGTTGCTGTGGAAGTTGAGGATTTGGTCTGTTTGTGTTGTCTTTTTGTATATGGAAGCAACCTTCCAAACAAACAGAACACAATTCAAACCGCACTGAAGATGTCCCCCCCCAAAAAAAACATTGATCTCCAGGATAGTAAAACCTTTTTTATAACTTAGCTTTTGTCAATCCACTGTTGACATCGTCAGAGTATGAGCTAGTAGCAAGAAACACTTGTTACTTTTATAGCTATGCGGATATTAGCGATCTAGTCATGGAGCGCGTAACTGGTCTACCCGCCCCATGCTCCCCCACAATTGGCTGCATCGATCATGGTTTTGCTGTCCAAGCTGATATTTGCTTCGGATATGGTGCTTTTACCTCCCCCACCTGCCCCGCCTACTGGTCATGTCCATCCTGTGTTGCATAGCTGTTCGGCATTGTTGCCAGATTGCACCTGTTGCTATTCTGTCTGGCCGTGCTGTCAGCCTGCCGGCGATCTTCCCATCATGTGCCTCACCCTGATCGTGTTGTCCTGTTGTCCTTTTCTTGGTCTTGTGATGGGTTCTTTCGTACTTCCATCTCCCCATCTGTTGTGATACCCTGCCGTTTCATGAGTGAACATCCCGGGTCTCGTGCGCTCCTGTTTACCCGGCACAGAGGTAGTAATAAATTCACCCGCCCCAATCCTCTGCACCGCTGTTTATGCCTTCTCAATGTTTGGTATGCTGGAAGCAGTTCCATGTATCGATTGATGGAGTATCGATTGGATAGCCATGTTTCTTTTAATAACCGGCCACCTTTCATAGAATCCTGGGCGATGACTTCAGCCCCAGTAAAATTGAATGTATGCTCCCTTTCAGCCATATGCGCCCCAGTAAAATTGAATGTATGCTCCCTCTCAGCCATATGCACCCATACCTGGGAACGCTGTTCATGCCGTTTAACCATTAGTTCATGCTCATGCATTCTAGTGCAAAGGCATTTTGCCATTTCTCCAACATAATTCTATAGATTACAGATGACATATCGCCTTTAGATAGCAGTTCCTTTGGGTGCATTATTCTTGTGTGCAGGGTCTGGCTGGGCCTATGTGCCATACTAATACCATGGGCTGCAAGTATCTGTGCGGTCGCTTCGGATGCACCATTGATGGGGGGGAGAGTTACCCAAGCATCGATCGTTGGTCTGTCATGGATCGATCGTGGTTCCTGACATTTACAACAGCGTTGAATGAAGCTTGCTGAGTACCCATTCTGCCTGCATATATGATGGAGATATGTCAGTTCCTTAATTTTTGCTGCCCTTGTGCTGCAATGAGTATTCACCCTATTGAACAACATTTGAATGCAACTAATCTTGTGTGCAATAAGGTGATTGCTCTCATTGTGTAGAATCCGGTCCATGTGTGTGGCCTTACGATAGACAGCAGTAGAAAAGGTACCATCAGGTTGGCAACTAACCAGCACATCCAAGAAAGCCAGGGTGTTGTTGGTTTCCTCTTCCGCCATGAATTGAATGTCTGAATAAACCGAGTTCAATTTCTCCATGAACCTGGTGCTGTCACGGCATTTAATGATGGCAAATGTGTCATCGACATATCTGACCCAAAACTTGGGTTGATAGTTGACCATTGCTTTGCATTCTAGTTCTTGCAGAATGGCTTCAGCAATGACCCCTGAAATGGGGGACCCCATAGACGTGCCCTTTATTTGTTCATATATGGTATCATGAAATATGAAATAGGTTTTGAGGCAAAGATTTAACAATTGGATGAGGTCTTCCGTGCTGGGCAAGTTGGCATGCCATGGCCCCTCATTCTGTAATAGGCCTCTTATCATGGAAATGGCCAGGTCTTGAAGGATGGAGGTGAATAAGGATGTCACATCAAAAGATATCATAATTTCATCATCATCTTCCACCTTTACTGATTGTAGCCTTTCTAGGAACTCCAAGGATTTTGTTGTGGTCGTGGTGTCTTCAACCAGATGCTGGAGCCATCCACTCAGCCATTTAGCCAGGCCAAAGGTTTGGATGCCCCTGAATAACACAATAGGTCATAATGGGACTTCCGCTTTGTGAATCTTGAGCAATCCATAAAACCGTGCCATGGCGGAGTCCTTGGGTCGAATTGCTTTAAAATCCTCTTTATGAATTTTATTTTGCCTCCTGAGTCTATCTGCTATTTTGCTAAGTTGATTTCTGAGTGACGTCATCGGATCTTTGCTAATGACCCGATATGCACTCTCATCACCCTGCAGGGCGTGGATCTTGCAATCATACTCAGGCTTGCCCATAGCCATGGTTGCCCTGCCTTTATCAGCTGGGAAGATGGTAATTGAGCTATCCTTCCATAGCTCTTCAAGGGCCATTCTTTCTGGTACTGATAGAACGTGGTTTTGCCTGTGGTTAATGAGAAGCCGTTATGCACTGCCTAATGGAATTTTTAGTCTCATCATTGGCCTCAATGTGGTGGATTGCTGATTCCAAGGGCACAGCAAAATCAATGGGTTTTGCATCCATTAAGTTGAAACAAACGTCCCATTGCAGGACTGAGGATTGTTATTGGTGTCGTAGATGATAGGTTGTGTATATGTTTGTTGCCACTCCTTCAATTGTCCAACGCCCTTAAGATTTGTTTTTCGCTGGAGTGCGTCGGCCTTTCTCTGGCGTGCCTCTTGCGTTGCGAGGTATATTTGGAGATTGAGGGCATTAAAATGTTCGTATGTTAATGTGGTGCGGCAATACTCTCGGTGCCCCTGAATTTTTATAGTTTGGGCCTCAATCTGTCTATGATGATTGTTGATCATAGCTTATATCATCTGGTGTTCGAATTGCCGGACCGCCACGTGGCCCTCTGTCGAATCCACTGGTGGTTTTCTGCGTAGCGATTTTGGCATTAGATTGTTCCGGATATAAATGTGTAGAAAAGCCAACTTCTCATAGCTAATTGTCTTGCGTTTTGCGAGGTTTTCCCACTGTCTAGCTCGTAACAGCGCTGCCCACCCATATCCATCCTTAATCATTTTAAAAACTTGAATCCCAGATATATTCATTTTAAAATCTACCAGAAACCATGGATCTCTGGGATAGTAGAACTTTTTAATAACTTAGCTTTCGTCAATCCACTGGTATGCTTCCAGCATACTAAACATTGAGAAGGCATGAACAGCGGCGCAGAGGATCGGGGCGGGTGAATTTCTTACCACCTCCGTGCCAGGCAAACAGGAGCGCAAGAGACCCGGGATGTTCACCCATGAAATGGCAGGGTGTCACAATGGATGGGAAGATGGAAGCACAAATAGAACCCATTACAAGACCAAGAAAAAGACAATAGGACAACATAACCAGGACAAGGCACATGATGGGAAGATTGTTGACAGATGTGACTCTGCGGCAGGCTGACAGCACGGCTAGACAGAATAGCAACAGGGGCAATCCGGCAACAACGCTGAACAGCTGCGCACCACAGGATGGACACGACCAGCAGGCGAGGTGGGCAGGGGAGGGAAAAGCATCAGATCCGAAGCGGATACCGGCTAGGATGATGAAACCACAATCGATGCAGCCAATTGTGTGGGGCGGGTATATTTATGGGAAACAACCATTAAATTAATAATACCATTAAAAACAGAATATAAAAAGAAAAATAAATACATATACATACATATATATAAACATACAGTTCTATGCCACCCATGTAAGGAAACATAAAGAAGATAGAAATTCAATCAAAAGGGCTACCTTCAGACTTCAAGATTCTGTTAATGTAGCCTAACAATAAGGTAGAATTAACATATTTAGTCATAGTTCCTGTCTGCTTTACCTGGGAGGCCTGACACACATACAGGCACACAAACAAACACGCATGATCCCTACAATCTCCAGACATTGTGTCTGTAATGGCATATAACTTAAATGGCTGGCATATAATTGGGCATACATGTTCCATAGATACAAGAAAGACACTTTTCCATCAAAAACTCTAGTCCATAAGTAGAGTCCGTGGATTTACAGAGTGTTTCATTGTTCCTCTATCCTGGGGAGATGATGGTCCAGCCAGCGACAGTCCAAGCAAGCGAGATTCAGGCACCATATGGAATTCTGTCCCAAGCTGCTACACAGCCTGCAAAGAGACAAATCACATGGCAAAAAGCAGTATCAACCATATGCTTGATAGAAGAAAAACCCACATCTCTTAGTCCAACCCTCCATACCACCAACCTGCAGCAGCATATTAAAACCAATTATGGTTGGCATCTGCTCCACAACACAGCACCATCTTCGAAACTCATAGGGAAACTTCAGTAGTAGAGAGGTCCACTCTTCCAATGATCGGGAAGCAGGATTTGGTATAAAGTCAGGAGGTACAACAGAGCAAATTCAATTAATTGCTATAAGTTGTAGAAGGGCCATTCCTTGTGTCAGAGTGGAAATTCTTTTTGTCCATCCTTGAGTTAACTCTGTTGTTTAGCTGGATCAAAGGCAGTTTGGGGGAGGGAGGTGGTCACAGCTCGTCTACTGCTAGGTCACCTGCATGGAAATAAAAGGTGAGAAAAACCAAGGAGGGGTTGGCAAATGGCAGGGGACCTTATGCCTCCAAACAAGGGAGAAAATTTGAAAGACAAAGAGATATTGAAATGTTTGCTACAAAGGTGGAAAACATATACAGGTTTTCCAGCTCTGGTAGTTTTCCTCAATTTATGACAATAACTGAGCTCAAAATTTTGATGGGAAGTCATTGCAGTTTTAAATCAAGTCACCACATGTCTGGATTCAATTTTACAATCATTTTTACAATAATTGTTAAGTGTATCACATGGCGGTAAATCCAAATGCAGATTATCCAGTGGCTGGTTTTTCCCATTTTTTAAAATTTTGCTCTAAAACAAACCGTGATCACATAAGCTGCAAATGATTCTAAATCTGAGCTTGTTGCCAAGTACCATACCCAAAATGTGATGACATGAGTGTAGGGTTGGTGTGACTGTTGTAACTAAGAGTAATAAGTAATTCTTTTCGAGTCTGTCGTGACTTTGAACAGTTGAACCAGTATCGGTCATAAATTGAGGATTACCATTGGAAATACAAAGCCTGGGATTGACTTGCTGTCACTTCATCTGCCATTTCCTCACTCCCTCCCCTTGGTATTCTAAATAATTACCTTCATTAATGTATGCATAGGTCTTTGCAGCATGCTAGACTTCCCTGGGAACTTCTGGAAATGCCTGCTGGACTTTATTGAGCTGGGAGACAGAAAAAAGTACATCACAGCGTTGCCAAGTGTCTTGGGGAGTAATTCTCCTTCCCTTGGCCCATAAACATAAATATTACCAGCAAGACATCCATTACTTGGATTCATTAGTCCATCATCAAGTGGAATGTCCTTTGGTTCCAAGAGAGAGGTTATATGAGGGTGGGGTCCCAAAAGCAAAGGGGGGCTCAAAGCCTACAGTTCATGGAACTTTAGCTTTGCTACTTATGTTGCTCCTAGGACGATGATTCCCACAGTAGAGAAGATTATTCAATACTGCAGAGAATAATCATCTGTGTGGCTAAAAGTGCTGTGGAATTGAAAAAGAAAATTTGCTCATTTCTTAAAATTAAGAATCTCATTGCCAAAGCACAGGTATACAATTGATAATAAATTCTTCTTTCTGCCACTGGAGCCATCCTGTCCCTCTGATATTGCTACAGCATTCTTAGAATCCAGCCTCTTAGAAGGAGGAAGATTTGGGATGTATGTAGCAAAGAACTCTGTCATCATCAGCCATTCAGTCATGTCTGATCTTTGAACACTCTTTCGATCAGCAATCTCCATGCCCCTCTGTCTTGCACTGCCTCCTTCAGATCTGCCATGGTCATCCCAATGTCATCTTTTATTCTGTCTAACCAGCGAGTGCTAGGGCAGCCTCTTCTCCTTTTTCTGCTGATCACCCCAGCATGATTGACTTTTTGAGTGAATCAGCTCTCATGACATGACCAAAGTATTTTCAGCATCTGTTTAGCAATCGTGGAGTCAAGTGATATTTTTGGTGGGGAGTTTGTTGTTTGTTATTTTCATAGTCCATGGGATGTGTAATAGTCCAGGTCCTTAAAAACACCTTTTCCCTTCTCCTCTGCAATTCTGGCCTTGAAATATTACAGTTGAATATGCATCTTTATGAAGAGATCTCTGCCTGGAGAAAAACAACTTTTGTGACAAGCCATGTTCTTATCTTACTTGATGCGTGTCCTCATAATCTCCAGTTATTGTTCACAGAGGGACAGTTAACGGGAGTTTTGACATGTGATACTGGCCAAATATTCTTCAATCTTCTTCTATGCTTTGACCTTCAAAATAAAAATGAAGAGCTCTGAGTTAGTAAAAGATGGGTCAACTGTCAGGAGAAATGGGGAAGTCAAACTACCCTCACTTCTCTCTGCCTCATGAGGAAAAACCTTTCCTTTGATTTGGTGACTCCAGCTGAAAAAGGTCCAAAAGGGCCATGGTCCAATTGAAGCTTCTGGGTGCTATTCAAGGGCAACCCTATATGAAGTCTGTTGTACTAGTCAAGCTGCAAAGTGATCCAGCATGAATGACTCTCTGAAAGGCCTCCTGTTCTTACTCGCTAAGTACTTCAAACAGATTTTCCTTACCCATTACAAAAGAAACAAAAGGCTGATCTGATGTCATATATTGTGAGCAAGACTGCTAGTCTCATGGCAAAACTACTTAAATTGTTATCTTCCACAAGAACCTGGCAGGAAGCAAGAGTGGAGAGAAGCAGAGAATTTAACTTCAGTCAGGCTATCCCAGCCCTTCTTCTTTGTCCCAGCCCCTTTTGACCTGCTATTTTGCTACAGTTTGTTTTTCAGGGCAAAGGGAAATTACTGCCAGGTTAAGGATTCTTCTCATGGGCCAGTTTTTGAAAGCTGCATTCTGTTTCTCTGAGACTAGATGGGCTTCTGCTAAACCTTCTGAGAATCCAGGAGTAGCTTTTCTCCTCTCTCTCCAGTATCTTCCTATCCTCCTTTGCTTGTCCCCCATTACCACTTCCTCCTAAGACTATAGATGTTTTTGTTCCTGGACACCTAGAATCTCATTTGCCCACTCTTCTTCAGCCAAAACATTGCAGCGATCACATTGAAGCCCTGGCTTATGTGGTGCTCCTGCTGGAAGGAAAATAGTCAGGCTGTAAGTCAGGGAGGCTGTGGGGTGTCTTCCCCCAGGTTCCCCAGTCATCTTCCTTTTAGAAGGGAAACTTCAAACCCTTCTTAGACTCTTTCCATCCAGAGGAACCTTTTGCACCACACTGAGATTGGACAAACGAGACTCAGATTGAAACCAAAGCCCAGCCATGGAAACCTCCACTTGCAAAGGATACCAACTGCTTGGACTGTCTCCTCTCAGAGGCTTCCTGCTACAGATTTTGGCTGGTTCTCAGGTCTCTTTTGAGACAGGCCACCTCCTGTTTCCTGAACATTTGCCTTTTTCTTCTATCACAACATTAAGATAATTTCCTACCATCGGAAATTATTTTCTATATAGCACTCTTCATTATAAATAAAGGTATAGACAGGTGGTGGATCCTCAGCAAATTTTGAGGAATCCTCTCGATGAAGAAAACTACCAAAATCAGCCTACCATTTCTGTTTTCTTTCCTTGGAGACCCAATTCCGTCCATTCAAAAGCTTTTGTGCTTCACAGAGCTGGTTAAGTCTCCTGGCCATGACAAACCTCGTAGGAACCTTAGGTAAACTGCATTTTCCATATTATCCCTCCCCATTTGCCAATATGTAGATAGGTGCCACTGAGCAAATTAAAAGGTTCTGAGAAGAATCCCATGGAAGCAGAACTTGTGGAAAGTCAGGGTGGAATCAGGAGCTTCTGGAGGAAGGGTGCTTAGAGGGTTAGGTACACTTTGCCTTCTACCCAGTCCCTGTGTACAACCGTGAATGTAGAAAGATCCAGAGGTGGCTCCTATAAATGCTACTCCTTAAGGAACTCCTTCTCTTTCTCTCTCCATGTCTCATCCCAATCCAAAGTGTGTATTCACCACATGTGTGTATTCACCACATCCAATGATGAATTTTACTTTTCTGCTGCCAAGGAGCTTGGTTGTATTCTCCAGTTTACATGTTGGAGAGCTTGCTGTCTTGGCCTTCCTTCTTTTTCTTCCAAAACAAGAGAAACATCCAAAGAATGACCTAAAACAGAGAAAAAACAATCTACAGAAAGGAATGGAATAAAGATTATTGTTTAGAATTATTTTGATTCAATTGTACACATACTATATATATATCCCATAACAACATCCCTATGATGGAAAGAAGCCAAAGTGCAAAAATCAAACTTCTGAGTTGAACTGTAGCTTTAACCTTGGCATAGTTTTGCCTGATCTGTGGATCTGTTCCACTGCCATATGAATTTATCAAATTTAAAAAGCTTTTCCTAATTCAGAGGTTAAGGATGCTATGTGATCCCAATCAATTGGAAAAGTGACTGACCCTATTTTTTAGTACCAAGGAGGAATAAAAGATAAAATTGCTCTGGAACACATTTGCCCCCTGTTTATTTTTCTTAAGAGAACAACAAATACCGTGTTTTCCCGAAAGTAAGGCCTGCTCCAAAAATAAATCCTAGCTTGATTTTGGGGGGCGGGTGAACCTAATATAAGCCCTACCCCAAAAGTAAGCCCTAGTTTCGTGGAAAGGCATACACCTAAAAATCAAGCTGGGGCAGGAGTGAGGGTGTACATCTGCCCCATGCGCCCTGCACCCACTTACCTTGCAGCCTGTTGTGATTCCGTGACAGCCTGTGCTCCCAACAGCTGAGTCTGAGGAATCTGAGGAGGAGGTGGAGGTGGCATTTGAAGGGCCATCAGGGACAGAGGGAGGCTCTGATGAATTACAGGACTCATGGTTTGATGCAGAGCCTGGTCCCTCCAGTCGTTTTCCTGATGAAGCTCAGCTGTGTGAGGAGAATGAGTCAGACTCGGAGGACTCACACCTGATGGACATGCTAATTGATGCACGCACATGTCATCAATTAGCGAGAGTAAAACAGCAGCAGTCAATATGGCAACTCCAGAGTAAAAGGAGAAGGCACTGAGAGGCAACGCCTTGGGACTGCTATATAAAAAGAGGAGGTGTGGGCGGTACATTTGCAAAGTACTTCTTTGGATCCTGGTCTGTTCGTCTTGCTTGTGACTACTCTTCTGTTTGCATCGTGTTTCCTGTGGACTATTTTCTTCATTTGGATTGAGTTTTGCTATTTGTGTTTTGGACTATTTGGCAGGTTTGTCACCCATATTAAAAGGGGTTTGTTTTGTTTTAAAGTCTCCTACCTATTTTATCAACAGGGGTTTGGTCCTTGTGCCTTTAACAAGGACGGCTATGGGCTGGGATAGAACAGAGCCAGGCCTCTCCTCTCTGGCCCACTTCTGTGGCGTCTTCTACAGCCAGGTCTGCATTTCTCAGTCACAGGCCTTTCCAAAAGGCCATTGCAGCTGAAAACCAAGCTATGGATTCAGTTCATAGCTTGGTTCTGCAAGACCTATGTTTCCTGGGACTTTCTGGAAATGCCTGCTGGACTTTATTGAGCTGGAAGACACAGAAAGAAGTACATCACACTGTTGCCAAGTTGTCTTGGGGAGTAATTCTCCTTCCTTTGGCCCATCGATACAAATATTACCAGCAAGATATCCATTCCAGGGATTCCTTAGTCCACCATCAAGTGGAATGAAAAGCAAAAAAACCCTCTCTGTCCTTTGATTCCAAGAGAGAGGTTATATGAGGGTGGGGTTCCAAGAGCAAAGGGGGACTCAAAGGCTACAATTCATGTCATTTTAATTTTGCTATGTACATCGATCCCGGGATGATGGTTCCCACAGTAGAGAAGCTGGTTCAGCGCCAGTGAGAACAATCTCCCATGTGGGTCAAAGTGCTATGGAAGTGACAAAGAAAGGACACTTTTGACTTCCGGTTTGCCACTGCAGCCGCCGCGGACATTTGGAAGGCAAGCTCTGTCTTCCATGTTCGATTTCTCATCGCTGGGGGACCCTGGAAAGGGTCAAAAGTTGCCCTGTAAGGGCAACAAGTGAGGAAGGGATCCCCGCTTGATCGCCGGAGGGCGGTAGCCCTTCTGCTCGATCTGGGACAGCCCTCCAAACCAGCGGATGAAAGACCGGCTATAGAAATATGGCCCGTGACTAGGCTGCAGACAGCTGAAGTCAAACTTACCACCAGGCACCCATAAAGCAGCATGGATGAGACTGGGTGAGATCTGAACTTCTCTTCAATCCTAATTATTTTTTCTACCTGTATAAGCTGCCCAAAGTATTTTTCGCCCTGTGGAGAGAAGGAAGGGAAATTCCATCCCACCCTCTAAAAACAGTGGCGACTGACTATCCAGGGGAGTTTAAAACATTGAAAGAACAACCTGATTCTAACTGGATTTTTATCTTTCTAAAATTTGAGGACTAAAAGATTTCTTATTCTTATTAAAGATTTGGGTTCTTACTTACAAAAAAGAAGTAAAATTGGAAAAAGGATTATAAAAATTTTGGACTTAAAAAAAAATCTTAAATGGTATGGGCAACATCTTGTGGCTAAACCTGATATTACAATTTGTTATTGCTTAAAAGAAACTTGGCTTGAAGCCCAGTCTGTAGATAAAACTTTTGCAACCTTGGCAGATATCAGCTCTGAGAGGCCCAGCTGTGTTTTATACTCAGTGACAGAATTATTTTCATTCTCTGACTGTAAAGCTTTTAATTTAATACATCACTAAGAGAACATGGATGAAGATCAGGAACAGATTCTCTTTATGTTGAAAGCAATTTATGAAACTATTCTGACAGCTATTGATGAAATAAGAAGCTACAGAAAAGAACAAGATGTCAGCCTAGATACATGAACCCAAACTTTGATTACAATTAAAGAATCAACTACACAGAATATAATAGAAGAAGTGGAACAATTAAACACTTTAAATTAAATTAAATGATAGAAGATTCAACTGATCAACAAACACAGTTAATGGAAAACCTGGAAAAGGGACTGGTAACACTGAAAATGGAAAAGACTTCCTATATAAACCAGAAGAAACCTGAAGAACAAAAAGAAGAACAGATCAAAGGGAAGATAAACATTTCAGGACAACTATATCGAGATGGAAAAATAGAGAGACAATTTGTTAGTTCTTCCAAAAAATGGCAACTGGATAGCCTTTTTTTATCTCAAACAATATATCTAATAACAGAGGGAGATCTATTTGATGATTTAAAAGCACAGATATGGAAGGCGAGTTGGCAAAGAAAGA